CTTCATACATATAATGGTTGCAGAGATATTTATTTTTATTGTTAGGATTAGGAGCCCGAATTATAAAAACAAATATCTCTGCAACCATTATATGTATGAAGATGAAACTTTCACAAGATGTGTAAGTATTAGCCATAATTCATATCCTAAAATTTCAGCTCGATCCGTCTGGCGCAAAAAAAGTCGATTTTTAACCTCTCTCGATATGTGGTTCGCCATGCATGCCAGTTCGACTTTTCAACTTCATCATCATCGATTGGAATATTGATAAGTTGGAGTGATTCGAGTAATTTGGGTGTTTCTTGAATAATTGAATAGAATTGATCGAAACTTAAATGATCATTACCATCGATCATTCAAAAATTTTGAAGAAATGTATTAATCAATTCTTGACGACGTGATTCATCATAAGGAAACCGAAATTCAACAAGGTAAGTTTGATAAAATTCAGAGACTTCTTGAAAATTACCAATTTATAATTATCAAGATCGAATATTTTGAATAGAACGAGCGATTTAACTGATCTTGGTGCTATAGAAAGAACTCGAGCGATGCGAATAACACTTCTACCGGTAATTGAATCGGCTTCGATACATATCCGCTCATCAAATATACCAAGAAGACGTTCACCTAAATAGATAGATAATTATTCTCAATGAACATTCGACTCTCTCTCCTACCGAACGTTTTTGTGAGTTGAAATAGTTTATAAAAGTTTTCTATTGTAAATTTTTTTGCATTTATATCGCCATCGAAGTATTTGCGAAAAGTGCGAAAATCATGATCACATAATGGTTCGTCCAATAACTCTTTTAAATGATGTTCGGCACGGTCAAATTCGCTCAGAGGTCGTGTGTTTGCACTGAGTCGACGTGATCTGCATTTATACACAAACAAAACAAGTAATTAAGAGCGAATACGAGCCATTTTTATAGTTATTTCAGAGAAACACTCACCGTAACGATAAAGATCGCTTGATGGAATGTCTGAACAATTCAATAAGATTTGTAATGAACAATACTTTTACACAAAATAAAGCGAACGTTCTCTTACGTTGATAAGGTTGGAGCACGAATTTGGCTTCCAATTGAGGCAACATTTGTTAGAAGTCGCGACGCAAGTCGAGTAATAGCGTTCTTCGATCTTGGATTGGGGTCATCCAAGGCAATATTTTCCTCTCTGGATATTCTCTCAGCATCTAATCTGATGACGACATGTTTATTCTCTTTTAACGATGCTGAATATTTGAGTGGCTCTTACTCTAATCTACTATTTATTACATTAGGTTTTGAGGATGATTTCGATTCGCATGATGGTGATATTATTTCATGTGTACTTGTTTCAGTATCATTATTGGAGTTGAATTTAAATAATAATAAAAAAAAAACGATCAATATAAAGAATTTAGTTCAAGCGACATAATCGAATGTTTTCATGACTGTTATGGAAGAAGAAATCGACCTTGTTTTCTCTCTCTTTCGCCCTCACGAAATGAACTTTGTGTTTATATGTTTGTATAATGATTTTTACTGAATGAAAAAACATACTCAGTAGTTTCTTCACCTCCTTTGACGTTTTGTTTGCAAAAAAAATCATGAAAAGGAAGAGACAAAAATAACAAATGTCATAAGAGGACCTCTTAACAGTCAATTATACATCTATCGATAGAAAAAAAAATGTGACAGACAAACGAACTAGAAAAAAATCAGCAATTTACGATTGCTGTTACTTGAAAATTAGAATATTTTCTCTTGAACTTCAGTCTTAATGTATTCGATGAAACTTCCTATAGTTTCAACTATTTTCATTTAATTTATCAAACAGAACAATCTTGATCAGTTTGAAACAAAAAATAATTAGAAGAAACAATATTTTTTTGGTATCATTGTTAAGGTTTAATTACGAGAAAAGACATCAATCACATAGACTAAAATAATTCGAGAAAAATATTTCCTATGTTTTCAATAGTTTAGTGAATTAGTTCTGTTGTTGATGAAGAAGAGAAAAGTTCTCTGATACAAAGTTTTTGCAAGAAACTTTCTTTGATTTGAAATTCAGTAGATATTGCTATTTATTTTATACGAATATTTTCAAGTTTATAATTTCGCTTGCTCTAAGAACTTTGCCGTTTATCTATGGTTTTCCCCATAGTTTTATATAGAATTTCAATAAAGAAAAGAAATTACTATCAATCTCCACAATAGAAATGGTGTAATCATGAGTTTAATCACTCAATAATAAAAACAGTTAGCAAAATACTATTTTATCATGTGAAGCAAAAGCACTGCAAGACGTTGATCTTTAGTGAAAATAGGGACTTCACCACATAGTCAGTTTATTTATTGATATTTTGAAAACGATGGAATCAGAACGTTTTGAAAACAGTTTCAAATCCTGAAGCAACTAATTACGAGAAAATAATAAAGTTCTTTTGATATGTAGAAGACTGAGCTCTCGGAGCCTGTTTTTGTTTAGACGATATAGGAGTTTCTTGAAGGTCTTGATATTGACTCGATAATAGTCATTCACTTTTAAAAGTAACAAAACAGAAGTATTAAATCATCTTGAACTGATAATAAAGGTTGTTTTTTTTTATTTTGAAACCTATACGAATTCATTGAGTCAATGTTTTTACAACTCAAATTCTCTATACCTAATCAGAACAGATGGCAACTCTCCTGAATTGTGTTCTTTTGGACTTAAGTTACTTTGCAAATAAAAGTAAACAACTCCAATTGTAAAGATTTATCACTCGAAGAAAAATCGATTTTTGTGAAAAACTTGCTTGTGGAATAAACACATCATTAGATTGTTCAAAGTGTATTCTTCCATGAACTAAATGATCTATATAGAGTTTCTAGATTCTATAGTAGTTTATGTTCTCTCATAACAACTGTTGGATTACATATCTTCTTTAATAATTGATTCAACAAAAAAAGAAAGGTCTATAATTATTTGTTTTGTTACGAAACTGATATTCTGAGCTAATGACTCGTAATAGATCTTTGTTGATGGGAAAAATTTTCTATTATGAAAGCTATATCTTTTTCTCACAGGAGAATTTCACCGTTTCAATAGATAAAGCATATCAAAAAGTATCGAATACATACTGGTTTAGTGTATCGATCAATTAAACAACACTACTAGAAATCGAATGAAATTTAGAACAAAAATGAAAAGTTGACTGATTTTTAAAGTCTTTTTTATATAGAAAATAAATATGTGTACATGATTTTTTTTTCTCGATATATTTTAAAAGTTCCAACGAGAAATTGATTAATTTCAGACAAATATGAAACGTTTTAAACAAATACTTCATGAAATGGTTACATAAGACACAATTTTGCTCTTACCTAGATTTTTTCTGTTCATGAAGGAAATGATGAAATGAAAAAAACATGATTCATAATCATTTCTTCCCAACTAAAGTCATGACTTCTGCAGTACAGGTGAACCCTATAAATAATCTAAAATAATACATATATTGTCGTTGTGGATAAAATTTCGGAAGATGGAACGACTTTCAACTACATCCAAGTTATAATGAAACTATTTAAATTCTTCATTTGCTTTATTATGTTGGCTATTGCTCCAACTTTCTGTCACACTACTAGAGGATCTTCTACCACAGTATCATCAACGACTAGCAATGTTCTCCTCGCTCTTATACGTCTCGCAAATGTAAAAAATTCAATCAATCAACAAAGTCGCATAGCAAAATTGAACGCTAATGATTTTTGTTTTTGATTTTGTCTCTGCAACAACTGGTATATTACAAGGTACAGGAGGGAGAAGGGGGTCGTACTGTTCAAGCCTCGGTGAGTACATCTCATTTATTCAATAGATAACTGTTCATTATCTCTGGATAGAATTTCTACTAAAATCTTCTCATAAACAAAATTCGACCTTTAGAATTGAGCAAATGATTTTTTTTTACTATTGAAGTCAAATGGAAATTTTATCGAGAAAATATAAAATTTTCAAACAATATTTGTTTGTTGCATTTCTCTGTTTGAAATTTTTAAATAAAAAAAATCATCAAACACAGAGCATGTTCATAAATCTAAAGCGTTTTTTCAGATAGAAAAAAGTACAAGATAAAATCTGAAATATACTTTGATGTCTATGAACGAAAACCAACTTTTGCTTGACAAATATGCCCAATATTGAAAGTCAAAATCTTCATATATGTTCATCTTCTAATTAGATTTGAAAACCAATTTCATTTTCTATAAAAGAGAGATCCATTTTGGAAAACTTTTAAGTACATGTACGAAGGTTACATATGAAATTAATTTTGTTGAAAAGTTTTAGTTTGATTGATTATTACTGTTTTTCATTCTAAATTCTATTGAAAATCTTGTTTCAATTATTGATATTATTATTTAATAGGCTTCCAACTTTTCTGGTGTTATTGAAAATTGTGTAGCTATGACGGTTGGATACTTGAACGCTTGTGGTGTCAATCTTCCACACACTTATCCTCGTGCTACTGAAATAAATTTCTCTGTTGATGGAGACTTTGAAGTTGGATTTCTCCAAGAAAACGGAGTTGGCTTTGTCATGAACACTGTACGTCGTGATACGGCAGCTGTTTTTCCTCAAGGAGCTATCCATTTTGAACCAAATTTGAACTGTGTTCCAGCGACTTTCGTAGTTGCCTTCAACAATGAAGATCCCGGAGTATTGACTATAGCCAATGCATTCTTTGATGGATTACCAGCAAATGTTGTTGGAGCCTCACTTGGTGATTTGAACATAACGATAATAGATGATATTCGAATGTTAGTAGCTCGAAATCCATCAGACGGCATTGCTGAATGTCGAAAACGATGTGGCCTATAATAATTGATTAAAATGAATAATACAGTTTTTTTCTGTTGAAATATTTATATCGAGAAAAAAGTTGGAATCATCTCATACTTTTATAATTTGGTATTTCTTAATGTGATAAATTGCAATTATTAACCAATGTTTCATATTATGTACGTGATTGATAATGTGTAGGAAAAAGAATTCTAACATACCCATAGTCATACTCTTTAGATTTCGAGATATTTTAATGCAAATCTAGAATTTCCTGAAGTTCTGAGCTGTCCACTTCCACTATTTTCCACTGGACATAGATCTTGTCGGTCATAATCATTTGTAACCGTGACCCCTACCACTTTGCAGGTCTTTAGTCAACCGTTGACTACAATGGGAAAAGGGAATTGAAATCAGAAAACCACCTGAGTTAGTTAGTAATACGACAAAGATCACACAACGTAAAGAAATAGTCTACAGAGTAGCTCATGTTATCGTTGCAGTGTTCATTGTAATCATATTGTCTAATCAACGACGTTGATAAGAAAACGAAAATGACTGATTTTCCTAGTGCGTAAATAATTTTTTCGGAATTCATGTAGGATTCCTCATTTTAGTGAAACAAAATGTGAATAGCAATTCCGCATATGTTTCAAAGAGTCAGCTTCACACTATGTGCTGCACAATTTGTATCATGAATACGTGTCGACTAATAACAAAGCAGAACAGGGTGTATGTGTAGGTACAATTGAGGGTGTTGTAGCTATGGCTGTGGCTGTTAATGTGGACATCCACATGTACACCATGCACCGACTCATGCCTACATCCTCGTTCTTTTGCAGAGAAAACTGTTCTTTTTATTGAAACGAAAAGGTTGTAGAATGAAAAAAGTAATTTGTGCCACTCACTTTTAAAAATTGTATGCGCATCTTTTCTCTCGGAAGATATTTTTTTGCATGCTCTCATTTATTTTTCTTTGTCACATTCTTAGTTTCATATGGCACTTGAAAGAATAATACTTTGCTTTTCTTTATTTTATAAAATCTTTTTTTTAATAAAATGTCATTAAACTATCATTAAGAGAAAATTTTCTTCAATTACTTTCTTTACTACAGCATTGTCGTGGTTATTGTCCCATGTTTATTTATTGTTTAATGTCAAGTGTACTAACACTAATTCGAACACTAATAAAATATGCTCGTCTAGAACTTATTAGTTTAATGAGTTTTATTAGTCTTTTATTCAATATTTTTCCTCTTAATTATATTTTTCAATGTTCATCATTAGCAAACCATCGAATGCCGTTATTGTTTATTTCAAAATCGAAATATTTAAATAATGATTCAATAGTTACAATTGAACGATCTAGAAGAATACTTGAAAATCTTAAAATATTGTTAAATAATGTCATGTCTTCGAATGATCAACCATGGATTTAGTTACAAACAACACAATATCCTTCTGTACGTTATCAACCCACATCATTATCAAATCAACATATTCCTAAACCGATACATAATAATACAATACTATCACAATTCATAAAAAAATGAAATCAATGGTGTATGTGAGCGATTGAATATAGCTAATACAATCGTCGGAGAAACTTAATGTAAATTATTTACAAAATCTTATACAGATACACAAGCCACAACAACAACCTTACTCGATGATAATAAAACTTATATGATAACTGGTGATATTGATCTCATGTGTTTACCTGATAGTAGGTGAGAATAAAAAGCAAAAAAAAGCTCTTTTTTGATTTTATAATGCTCAAGTTCATCAATAACAATGTCGAATGATACAAATATTCAACGTATAATTGAAGGCTTTATTCGTCGTCAGACACAATTTATTTTTTGAAATCCTTATGCTAGTTCATTTCGTTTAACTCTTCGTCCAAATTCTGCATTGGATGATTCTCTAGAACCAATTCATGTTCAAAAAGATGTGAGTGAAGATGTTAAGACTCCACATCCACACTATAAGCTGAAATCTGATGGGCACTCTTAAATCGCCCTGAAAAATGTTAGACTTCATTTATCACAATTATATCCGATTTATTAATTAGGTTTTTTATTTATTCAATTCAATATAATGATAAACAAATTCTTAGAATCTTCTGACATGATGATGACGCCGATGTTGATGTTGACGATTTTGACGTCGAGGATGATTGTTGATTCTTCTAATGATGGCAACTCGACGTAGAATGCATCGAAATTTAAAAATTCTTCTTTGTCGCCATCTTCGTATCGATATGTGTCTTTGTAGAGTAAAATCCCGTAACGGATCATCATTACAAATTGGAATCGTGGGGTGCGCAAGCGAATTATTGAAAAGTTGTGAATATTTGACACCTATTAAAGCACAAACACTAATTACAATCATTGGTGCATCACGCGTCATTACCCACCAGTATGAATAGGAAGACCACCAACAGAAGAGACGACTATCTCCATTTATAACTTCCAGACAGACATCAATGCCATCATTATTCAAAAGAGACAAAACACCATGCCAAAGACAAGCGCCAAAGAACAATGGATGAAACGATGAATAATAAAAATCATCATTAAGGTTATAAAATATAGATATATAAACAAATATAAAAAAACTCGATGCTAATTCATTACACCACCAAGAGAATCTAAAATGAATAAAAATCAATATAGAATTAAATCTTCAACTTTGACTCGATCATAAAAGCAAGAATTGCATATCGGCAATCTAACTCATAAAAAAACTGAAGTATTTCATTTAACATCATTTATACAGTATAAAAAAATATTTCTCCATAATAATTGATAGGTGAAAATGCATATCACTGCTGTACCAGACTAGTTACAGCTTGTCAGATCAATTATATATTTGACAAATACAAATCTTATCTTCTCCAACTATGTTTTGACATAATACATCGTTTTTTTTTACGATGTCTGAAATACTGTATCTTATTATGTTAGATATCTCAATTACATGTAAGTTTTATCACTCTCACAAGCCCTGCAATTGTCAAAGTTCTAATATTTTTTATATATAAGATAAGATAAAAGATAAAGACGACTATGATGCCAATATACCGTCGTCTTAAGTTTGATGTTCTTTTATATAAATCATCATGTATGTAATCGTCTCTTTCAATGTTTAATAACTGGAGTTGAATCTGTTTTTTTTTAAAGAGATTTTTGTTTATAGCATCATTTAACTTGAAATATTACGTATTATAAATATTACATAATTTAAATGAATTTTACAAAATTCAACCTCTCATACTAATCTAAAACTACTGTCATTGATGCCTTAGGTAAAAATTTTTCAGATTAGTAGTTTCCTTGTCAAATGTCAGTCAATCGATTTCAGTTGATAAGCTTCGACGGAACAACGAAATGTAGATTAATCTTACTCTGACTCTTTTTTTCTTAAAGTTCTACTCCACCTATCGATGTATTAACGATAAAGGTCAACATAGTAAATATCGAGGTAAAATTAACGTATTGAAACTTTCCAAAATCTGTAACAGTCACTAACTATCACCGAGTACTACATTAATTTTGTGAATCAGTTAATACGAATTATTTTCTTGTTCCTATGATCAGATGAAAATTCATTTGGTCATGGTATGTTAACTGAAGAAGGCTTGCAACAAAAATTGACCGTCTGTCTTTATAGAATGAATAGATTTGTGATAATATAATCTATTGTGACATATCCTCATTTTAGAGAAATAGGGAAGGAGTAAACATGATGAAACTTACCCTGATTCATTGTTTTTCCATATCCATGTAACTATGATAAGAAAAGATGCAAGAGCGATGCGCAAACAAAAAGATAGATATTCATTTGCTATTCGCATAGACACTTCATTTGACTTTTCCATTCAATAAAGATATTGATGAAATTACATCGATACATACGTCTATATATAATATATATTTCTTCATTGAACTATTTGCGCACCTACCGTGCATTTGTTTTTTTCTTTTCTGAACATTGTTCTAT